GGCTGGGGGCGGGGGATGAGTAGGAGTGCTAGATCTGAGAGGTCCCTAGTGGGCAGCTAAGCCAGTTTCCTGCCGATTCTATTTACTGGTTATGCCATTGTTTGAGTCAGTTACATGTCTTCTCTGTGCCTCAGTTTCCTTGTCTGTGCAATGGGATAGCAGCTCCTCCTTAAAGACTAACATTTCATGGACGCATGGACACCCACTACCTCTTACTAAATACTGTCCATCTCTTTATTAATATCTGTACCCCAGGGGTACAGCCTCCCCTTCCTCCCTCCTCCCAGCTCAGCTACACCCATTCCTCACGGCCCACCCCCCTTCCTGCAGCCAGCTAGCCAGTCAGTCCCTTGGAGAGGGGGCTGTGTGTTGGGGGAAGGGACCCTATCTCTGTCCAGCCCAGGATGATCCCATGCTTCACTCTTAGCCTCTCTGAGTGTCCAAGCTCTCCATGCCATTCCTCTCCCCAGTCTGGACAGCTGCCACAACCACTTACTCTGGGCCTAACTTGCTCTCCCTCTCCGGTCTGCAGAGGCACTGAGAGCACTGCTGGCCTGCAGATGTCCTAGAGTTCTGGGTGCTGGACGCTTGTTACAGACCCCTACTGGGGCCATGTGGGGAGGGAAGACCTGGCACAAGATTGGTAATGAAGTGGGACTTAAAGAAGTTGGCCTCAGAGGCTCACACTTGTAATCCTAGCTACTCAGGAGGCTGAGATCTGAGGATCTGGGTTCAATGCTAACCTAGGCAGGAAACTTCGTGAGACTCATCTCCAATTAATCACAGAAAAATCCAGAAGTGGCACTGTGTATGACTCAAGTGGTAGAGTACTAGCTTTGAGCAAAAAGGGGCTCAGGGACAGTGTCTAAGCCCAGAGTTCAAGCCCCAAGACTGGCAGGAAGGGGGAGGAGGAGCAGGAGGAAAAAGAGGAGGAGGAGATGGTAGATGTAGGGAATCCATTGCCTTAGATGAACTTCTAGAAAGCACTTCTGATTGGAAGACAGAGTGCTAGGTGAATCCAGCCCTAAGGGGAACTAGACCTTTCTCCAGTACTGAAGTCGTTTTTATCTATGAAACATCTGGGGAGGAGTTTCCTCAACAAAGCACCTGCCACAGGAGTTCGTCAGTTCCAATGAGGGTGTGTGTGTGTGTGTGTGTGTGTGTGTGTGTGTGTGTGTGTTAAAGACAGGTAGGTCCAGATGGACCTGAGTGCCTTCCTAGGTTTTACTACAGCCACATGGAGTCCTTTGCCTCATTGGGGGCGAGGCACTTGGGGCCCCAGCAATAAGGCCCATCGCTGAGATATACAATAGGTTTTCTGGCTTGCTTCTCCCTTCTGCAAATCATCTGTATTTTGGATGCAGAATCCCAACTCCATCAACATCAGTGGTACCAGGAGCTCTACTCCAGATAAGAGTCTCACAGATTTTGCTATTGGGGCTGGTTTGAACCATGATCCTCAGATCTCAGCCTCCTGAGTAGCTAGGATTACAGGTGTGAGCCACCAGCAGCCGACTCTCATTGATTTTTACTGGAGCTTTTATTCTACACAAACCACATGTGCACGCAAACCACAAGGTGCCACAGACTTCTTTCCTCCTACCTCCCTGTCCCTTCACATTTCCCAATGGGAAACTGCTCCCTTATATCAGGGCCCACCACAGTCAAAATGGTTGCATGTCCCTCTGAAGCCCAGCTGCTGGCCTGAGCCACTCTGGAACTGGCCGGTCCCAGAGCTAACTTCCTGGAGGATCTACCTGCCTACGCCCTGAGTTCAAGTCTGAGGAAAGATGCAGCCAGTGAGCTAGTGTGCCTCTCCTCAGTGTGCTCTGACACTGGGGTCTCACATTGAGAGAATAGGGCCCACAGCAGTTTAGGGTTGATGGCTCTGGGAGGTCCCGGCCCTCCTAGAGGGAGCCGGGACAGCCTTCTCAGAGGACTAGGCTGGCTGTGGCCAGTCACTGCTGAAAGCTTGGGCACTATGATGCAAGGGAGACTTAATTTATTCATTTCCTTTCAACATGTATCTTTCTATGCATCCCTTGTGATCTCTGCCTGGGCTAGGGCACTTCCTGTCTGAATGAGGAAGTTGTAAGCATCCACATCCCCTCCCCCCACCCATACACCTCTACTGGCCTCCTGGTCCTTCTGTTTGTGTCTGTGGCTGGAGTTAGACTCAGTTTGTGTGTGTGTGTGTGTGTGTCTGTCTGTCTGTCTGTCTGTGTGCTGGTTCAGGGCCAGGGTGCTGTCCTTGAGCTTTTGTGCTCAAAGCTAGCACTCTACCACTTGAGCCATATCTCTACTTCCAACTTTTTTGTGTGGTAGTTATTTGAAGATAAGACTTTCCTGCTTGGGCTGGCTTCGAACCATGATCCTCAGACCTCAGCCTCCTAAGTAGCTAGGATTATAGGTGTGAGCCACTGGTGCCCTGGCAGGACTCAGTTTTGAACACTTAGAACATTTCATTTCCAAAGGGATTTCAGAATAAGCATAGCTAGACTGTGCCCTCTTCTTGGGTCTGCACAGTGCTGCTCCCTCTTTTTCCTTTCTCTCCTGACACCCCCAGTTGGTAGGCCCCTCAAATCTCTCCCAGCCTTGAGTGAAAAGGGAAGCCGGCGAGTAAACAGCAAAGCCTACACCACCGGATCCCCGGGCGCCTGCCCGACATTGGCTGCTGGAGCACAGGAAAGTGCTTGTCCCCAAGCTAGGGATGAAGCCAACCTCAGCCTGGGCAATGGCCTCCGGTGTGGTCCAAGCTCAGAGGTCCGACTCAATAAATAGGATTCCAACCAGGGAAATACACACCCGTTCCTGGGGCCTTCCGGTGGTCATTAAGGAGGTTGTTGCCTAGGAGGCTCCCGGCTGGCCAGAGGACTCATGTATTGCAGGCACCAGGCTGACTTTTGAGGAGTGTGGATTTTGGGTCCTGTCTTCTGGCAGAGATGTGGCAGCATAAGTCCTCAGAAAGCTGAAGCTTAAAACCAATGTCCAGAATGTGTCTTAATAGTACCACCTGGCCCAGTCTGTATGACTGCTTAAGAAAGAGCAGAGGTGTGTGTGTGTGGGGGGGGGGATTGAGTTCTCTGCTATCTCCCAGTGGTCCCAGCTCCGGGCAATTTGGGGTTCAAGGCCTGAGTGGGCACCAGGGAAGGTGGAAGAAAGCTCTCCTGCGGCTCTTGGCCCCCAAAAGGTCTAGGCAGTGGTGGACTGGGGGTGAGGGTGGGGTAAGCATTGTCTGGCTTGAAGCTGAACCCCAGAGCCCATGAAACGGAGTGGAGCGTGGAGCGGGAGTAGACATTGCCCATCATCCTTGAGAAAAGTCCAGGCAGAATGGACGCCTGAATGTCCAGACCCGCAGCTGAAGTGTGGGTCCCTGCAGGCCCAAAGTTCCACAGCAGCAAAGGGAAGTTTCCCTCTTCTGGCTCAGTCTTGTCCTAAAGGAAAAGGGGGTTCCTGATCTCATTGGGGGGTGGGGGAAGGAGGCATGTGTGGTAACAAACATGGAGGATGGGCTCAGTAGTGTTTAAAGGGAAGGTGCGGAGGGCCTTAGGGGGGTGATGATGGTGGACAGACAATCTTTATCTGCCTCTAGGGGGAAAAGCCAGCAAAGTGATTTCCAAATCCCGTCCCTGGGAATGGTAACCATCACCCCCCTTCCTGGGCTGGCTGCTTGCTCTCTACCTTCTTTCACATGACGAGAAGCACCTGGTGTTCTTTAAATTTTATTTAAAATTCCAACACTCGATCATTTATCTCGTTCTTACAACCAAACAAGTAATAAATATTATTTAGCACATTTTTTTTCTTTTTACAAAAATAAAACAAGATGATACACACTCTGCCATCAGGAGCCCCGCTATCAGAGGAAGTTGCTACCCAGGGCCCCATATTACCACTTGGGCCTGCCAGGCCCATGGCGAGGAGGCAGGGAGCCTGTGGAGGGGTTTTTGCCATTTGTGTTAAACTTGGCGACAAGAAGCCATACAGAGAGGAAAGGAGGCTCAGACTTCGGTGAGGCTCTGACAGTCACCAGCTCAACCCTCTTAGCATGGCGCACTTAGGCCGTCGTTGATATTCTATTTACATACCCGGGAAGTTAAAAAGCCAACGGAAACCCTCACGTAACTCACAGTCACTTTTCTTTTTAACTGCCAAGACCTTGCGTACCACCCCCCAAGTCTCTTCTCAATCGAGTAAGAAACAAAAATCACCTTGTGCTCAGAGACGAGGGGGTGGAGAGGAGTTGGGGGGGGGGACAGAAGGAGGGCTAGTTTCTACTTTAAAAATAATACCTAAAACCCACTAAACACCCACCCTTTAGATGGGGCAGTTAGGGGTCATTCCGTCCACAAGTGCTTCTATTCTGTGCGTCTGTGAAACTTACTCATCGTGTTGCTGCAAGAACAGGCACAGACTTATTAGAAGCCACCACCCCCGCCCCCTGCCCCTCAATCACCGGGGAACACCCGGAACCACAGCCACAGTTCTAAGGAATACGGAGATGGGACGCGGACAGGGAAAGTGCTTGCGGAAGCCGCGCCAGCTTCAGCTCGCCCACTGCCCTTGGCCAGGGACGACCCGGGGACGGGGGGGGGGGGGGGGATGGAGACCCAGACATGGCTTCTGCCGTGCGGTCCCCAGTGTCTCCCGCGGGCCAAGAAACGAGGAGGAGAAGGAGGAATCTGTCCTCGGTGTCCTCGATGTCCCCCGCTCCCCGCACCCCTCCACGATGCGCCGTGGTGGGGGGCCAGAGTCTGAACACCAGGCAAACCAGGGTCCGAGTGAAGGAGGCTGGGGACTTGACCATCTCTGCGCCCCCCCCCCGCGCCCCGCATCCCCAATGCTGGCGTCCCCATCCTCCCTTTCCCAGTCCCCTCCCTCCCCGACCCGTTGTCTGCGCCCCGGCGCCAGCCAGCCTGTCCTCGCTTCCCCGCCGCCGTCGGGGATCTGGGGGGTGGGGGGTGCCCCTAGCTCTCCAGTCCGCGCCGGCACCCGCCGGCTCACTTGGCGTCGGAGGTGAGGCGCGGCAGGCTGCCGGCGCCCATGGCCGACACGTGGTGGTGCGGCGGCGGCACCTGGCACATG